CCCAGCATATTGTTTCTTGAGCTCTTTTGAAGTGTTTAGTTCTAGACTTGTTTTGCTGCGGCGTTTATATGCTGCTTTGTTCCCTATATTTGCACTGGTGACGAACATTGATGCCGAGTGGATGTAATATGTGTAATAGCCATGATAGCCTAGCGTAAGTTGCTTCCTTATTTATTTCCTTGTTGTCTTGTTTATTTGTTTGCTTGTAGTCAGTGCAGTTATTTTTCCATGGTTTGCTAGTGGCCGCAATAACCTATTTTTTAAAACTAAGCCACAATAACCATGGGCTACATATTTACTATAGTGACGCTAGGCCTCCTACCGGCCATAGAAACAATGGGCCTTCTACGGCTATAGAAACAATGGGCCTTCTATGGGCGGTAGACACAATGGGCCTTCTACGGGTCGTATCATCAATGGGCCTTATATGGACCGTATGATCGATCGACCAAACATGGGCCAATAACAGACCGCATTATAGCCGTAAACGGGCTAGAGTTGGAATCGTCCGTTCATGGGCCGACCATAACTGGCCGTTGTTAATAGGCCGTATTTGATGACGCTATTAAAACGGCCCAACGTATTAACGGACCACAAACGGGCCGACTGTAACAACGGGCTGAATTTGGCCCAGAAGCAGAAAATGACAGTAACGGGCCGTAAGTAACCGAATGCTGGAAATGATCCCAAGAATAAATGGGCCCTGAGAAGGCCGAAAGTTAACATGGGCTGGAAACGGCCCAATAGAATAATGGGTCGTTAATGGGTATAAAGTGATACACTGTTCGTTACGGGCCAGTTTCAGCACGTGCCATTAATGGGCCAAGAGTTACAAAGGGCCTCATATGGGCTGAAAGACGTCGTGAGCCATACATGGGCCGGAAGTTAAAACGGACTGGAATCATATTGGAGGGCCCAGATGACGCTACTGGGCCTAATTCGGATAGGCCGTAACGGGTCCTATGTTAGCGGTCTGTAAATGAGCTATATGCGAACAGGCCTTTAACAGGCTTTCCGTGGGACGACCCACCACCTTTTTACCAAGTCAGACGGGCCGGCCTTTTCACAGGAATGGGACTTTGTTGGGCCATGCCACGTGTCGACGTATCATAGGCTCCTTCGGTCCAATGAGTGGATGACATCTGTCCCAACGGTGAGACGAGACGTGTTTACTCCAGCCAATGATGATTTTACACGTGGAAAATCCCCATTGGTCGGGGCTATTGATGGGTTATCGGATCCAAAACCGGACCCGATAGCTTAACAGCGCTCCGTTACGGTGGATGCCACGTGTCGGTCACCCTTGACGAAAGCACTTCTATGATGCGCGAATTATCGTCATGGAAGTGGCCACTTCCGTGATGATAATTTTGGTAATGTCATAGAACACTTCTACGATAGCACATGTATGACTATCTTGATTCTGTCATAAAATCATCATGGATGTACATGCATGACAAAAAACGTGACCTACTGTGACAAACACGTATCATCACGGAAGTGTATTTTTTTTGTAGTGAAAGGCCATGAGCGGATATGTATTCACTCGTGGAGGTGGCACTGTTTCTTGGAAGTCTTGCAAGCAGACCATCTTAACGAGGTCAACAATGGAAGCAGAACTCACAGCACTAGATACAGCTACGGTCGAAGCAGATTGGCTTCGTCGGCTCTTGAATGACTTGTCGATTGTTGATAAGCCTGTAACGGGTATCCTTATGAACTGCGACAATCAAACTGTGATCACAAAAGTGAACAACTCAAAGGATAACATGAAGTCATCAAGACACGTTCAGAAAAGGTTAAAGTCTGTTAGAAAAATGAGAAACTCCTGAGTTATTGCATTGGATTATATCCAATCGTTTAAAAATCTGGCAGATCCTTTTACTAAGGGTCAATCACGTAATGTGATAGATAATGCATCGAGGGAGATGGTTATGAGACCCACAATATGAGTTGTTCGCAGTGGTTACCTATTCTTTGTGATCGAAGATCCCGTGAATTAGATGTGGAAGACAAGTTGTTGATCAACTAAGAGGAGAGTATCCTTACTATTAACAATACCACTCCATGAAGATGCAATACTCTCCTAATCTGCATGGCAGGTTGATGTATATCTTAATGTGTTCTAAGTGGCTCTTTGAAGCAGAGATGTTGTCATGCAGAACATTTTTTGAAGAACACACCTATATGAGTCTGATTGTTAAACGTCGCAATCTATGAGAGTAGGGTTCTCTCTAGTAAACTCATGAAAGGTCTTGGAGTATGGCGCATAAGCTCCATCCGCGGGGAAGACCCACGATAGCCACGTATTGGTCAAGGCTTTGTGTGAAGCTAGATTCGCAGAAAACTTGCAGTTTAAGGCCCAGTCCACTGTTCAAGTTGCTTACGACTGTAGCATAGAGTTCTAGGTGAAAGTTCAACTTAATAGTCTCCACTACAGTACCGGTATATAAAACAGTGTTTTGAAACCAAAGGCAAATTTTGTGTGCCTCTGGGATGTGGTGGGGGATTGCTGGAATTTTGTCTATTTTGGGCCTAGCCCAATAGCAGTTTCAGAAATTCCTAATAAATCTTAGAGGCCCACGCAGCCCATTCGTGCAAGGCAAAAGGTGAAACTAAAGTTTAGTCCCACATTGCTAGTTTAGAGGGAATTGGACCTCTTTATAAGGGAGGTTCTTTCTCCACTTGTATGAGCATGAGAACAAGAGGGACATCCACGCGCGCTCCTCCTCCGTCGCCCGCCACGCCTCTTCACAACGTGTCGCGCCGCGGGTTGCGGGAATGAGCCGGGCCGATGTCTAAATTTTTGCCACGCACTACAGCTATACGAAAGGTCACACGAAAGCTGAAAAGATTTTTGCGAAAGTGGAGCTCGAATGCGAACGGTGCAGCCCTTCGGCTGCTGGTTGTTCGCTTCATCTCCGTCTCTTTGTTTCGCCTTCCGTCGCTGCCCTCTCGCCTCCTTCTCTTTGCGCCGATAAAAGGGAGGTCGCTCCTCTTAGAGAGACGCACCAGAACAACACAACCTTCTCGCCTCAGAGTTCCCGACCACTGAGCTACTGCTACGATCTTCCCCATCCCGGCTTGCAGCGTGCACCGCAGGTCGGGACAGTAGGCCTCCGAAACCGCATCTTTTGAGTCCTGTAGGGGAGAAGGGTGATAAGGTTTTGGGGGAGCGCTTCGCGCGACTACTGACTTCTTCGTCACGGACGCCCTGGACTCCGACGACTACTTCCCCGACGTCCACGACCTCCTCGACGACATGGCTGGCGAGGACACTGACCCCAAGTCCAGCGCTTCTGCTGCTGCTGCTGTCCCGTACGTGTTCTTCCTCTTTCTATTAGAGGTCCTGCTACAGTTCCTTGTTCTAGTATTTGCACTAGATATGTTAGACTCTATTTCATATATGCAACTTGCTATATTGTCTGCTCTAGATATGTTTAGTTACGATTCATATATAAAGATGTTGTTTACCTTCTCTTTGTCAAATCGCATGGCTTGTTTTACCACTGCTATACTAGTCATGTTTTATCTAATATTTCTGTTAATAAAATCATTTGGTGAATTACTCATATTTCCAACAGGTTCATGTTGCAGAAATCAAGTGAGAAGGGGATTTTGCAACAAGAGCATCGTTGCAAAAAATTAGGGAAGATGAATTGACGATTCATGCATACACAAATCAGATGGCTCGCGACCCGGCCGATCTTTTAAAAGGATCAGTCGGCGGACGCGTAGCAGCCCCAGAAAGAAACCATAAACTAGGTCAAGCTAGTTAAGGAGGCCCAGCTATATAATCACCAGACGTCCTTTAAAACAAAAATCACCAGACATAAACGGAGCCGTTCGAAAACACTCGACGGCTCGACGGTGTCTTCTCAGTCAACCGGCGGGGTCATCGACTCATCGTCTCTCCTCCGGCGGCGAGATCAGAAGCCACCGAGCTAGCGACGGATCGCCTTTTTCTCCTCCGCACAAGTTAAGCATTTCTTCCTCCGCTCCACTTGTGGGCCTCGATTCCTCTGTTAAACCGTGGGCTCTTCTTCAATCTCGGCGGCGCCGCCAAGCTCTCCGTTCCCCAGCCGGCTGCAGCTTTCCATCTACGGATGCCGTTCATCTTCCACCGACTGTTTCCAAGATTCCGTCAGAGCCCACTTAACCCGGGGAAGAGGGGCAGGTGCTGAACTGCTGATGCTCACCATCCGCCCCGCTCGTTTCTTCTCGGTACACAGCCCAACTTTCCATGATTCCATCTAGCTTCCCAAATGAGCGTGTCTTTTCTTAATTGGATGCTGTCGCTATTCCGTGTTTTTCTTTTGAGAATGTCGCTATTCCGTGTTTATCCATCAGATCCGTGGCGTGTTTGGCCGCCAAATTGCTGAAGGGGCAGTTGGACACACCTACATCAGCGCGGCAACTAAATGTAGTGGAGTACAGTATCAAGAAAGCCCCAGCTGCATTTATTGGAATGGAAAATGAAGGGCATGTACATCTCAGATAAATGTTTGCATCGAAGCGTGCAGGCACGCACGGTGCCAGCGTTGAAGCTGCACATATCCACGAGGATCACGAGGTCTGACTTCAGAGAAACATTATTAAGTACTACTAAGGTTAAGACACTTATTTTGAGACGGAGGGAATTTAAGTACTCCCTCCGTCTAGGTGTGTAAGTCATCTTACGAAAATCAAATAATCCCAAAACACTTAGGCGCGGTGCATTAACTTCTACCTCGTTTCTTGTTTCTTGACATATCAACCAATAAGAGATAAGAGGTGGGCATGCTTTTAATGACTTGAAACTATCAAACACGTCATGCAGTGGTTAGTTCATTGCATGCAATACTATTAATTAGCAAATAAACATTAACGTCTCTTGTTTTTCCCTTCTCATTGGTCACGGTGCACAGCCTAAGATGACTTACTCACCTAGACGGAGGGAGTAGTATGGTTGATATAGATCTCCTAACTATGCACAGACAGAAAGGCACAAGCATAGGTAGATGGGTATGGGTGCCGCTGCCTTCTTCTACCTCCTGCTGTCCCTCTGGGCTCAGGATGCAACCGCGGCTGACCTTGGCCTCACAAGAAGCGATTTCCCACGGGAGTTCGTCTTTGGATCTGGGACCTCGGCATATCAAGTAAGCAGTCAGTCTATCTTGTTTGAGCTGAAAGTTCTGGCGTGTTTAGTTAATGAATTTTGATTCTTCTTTTGCATTTGATAGTATGAGGGTGCTGTTGCTGAGGATGGCAGGAGCCCAAGCAACTGGGACACTTTCACTCACGCAGGTTGGTTGCTAACATGTTTGTGAAATTTCTCTCTGGTTTTCCCATATGACTGTCACTCTGTCAGACTGGATACTTCCCATACGCGTCAGAATACAGTAGCATCTTGAGCAATATGTGGTCAGTTTTTCCTGATGCGTTGAGTGGATATTTGATACGAGTGCCCTCGTTTTAGAACAATTTGCAGTTTGGAGTGTTTGTTGCACTTAGGCTAATTTTGGCAGTTTGGTTTGTTCCTGCAGGCAGAATGGCAGACAAAAGCACAGGAGATGTTGCTGCAGATGGGTACCACAAATACATGGTAAATAATACAAGTTCTTGCCAAATCTTGTCCGTTTCTCTGCTTTAGCAGTTCTTGAATAAATTAGGCTTATCTGATTTTGCAGGAGGATGTCAAGCTCATGTCTGAGACAGGCCTAGAGGCCTATAGGTTCTCCATATCCTGGTCAAGGCTCATTCCAAGTACATGATTCCTCATAACCTCTACCCAACCACATCCGCTTTAGTTTGCTAATTTATCTCTTTTTTTCTGAAAATTTTCGGTTTGCAGGTGGACGCGGAGCTGTCAACCCCAAGGGGCTAGAGTACTACAATAACCTCATTGATGAGCTAGTGAATCATGGTAATTGTATCTTTAGGACCTTTGCAATATTTAACTGCAGTCAAGGTTCATACTTCATATAATCAGAATCAATGTAAATGTCGGTTCCTTTCAAGAATCAAGAAGCATACCAAATAAAAGCCAAACGCATTGATCATTTCAACTCACCGGTGTATGTGATATTTATCCAGGAATTCAAGTACACATCACACTTCACCATGTAGATCTCCCTCAAGTTCTCGAAGACGAGTATGGTGGATGGTTAAGCCCCAAAATTGTGTAAGTTCATATCTCACTACCAAATAAAGAACTCCATTGCAGCGTCAATTTTTTGGGGTGAATCTGGTGACAATTTTATATTATCGTTGACATCCTTATGACATAATCTTTGTGGCATACTCATATTTCTGTATCCACAAAATGCAGTGAAGATTTCACAGCATATGCAGATGTTTGCTTCAGGGAGTTTGGAAACAGGGTTGCATCCTGGACAACTATGGACGAGGCAAACATCGGTGTACTTGGCTCTTATGGCAATGCTCTATTTCCTCCTGGCCGTTGCTCAGATCCATTTGGAGCAACAAAGTGCACCGCTGGGGACTCTAGCATCGAACCATACATAGCCGCTAATAATATCCTTATGGCGCATGCATCAGTTTTCAGACTGTACAGAGATAAATATCAAGTAAGTGAATGGTCTTGTACCCAAAATATTTTTTGTGCTACTTAGTTTCTTTGCAAAGTGCCACACTAAGTGATCTTAGTTTTACTCTAGAGTGGAGGCACCATTTTCAGTCAAATACACAATAACCATATTTTAGTTCCTTTTTGGCAGCAGTATATCATGGGGGAATTGTCGGTTTATATTGTTTAGGTTCTGTCCTTGTTACATTCAAAATAGGAGTGTGTATAGACTCTTATTCCACTAATGGAGTGGCAGTACTCCTGCTTTTTTCCCCTAAAATAAGTATTCCATTCACAGTTGCTTCCCTGTTACGATGTAAATTTTCGGAGGTGCAGGCTCATAACAAATGAAAAGGAACCTTTTGGATGCAGCACAAGCAGAAAGGAATTGTTGGCATAAATATCTACTCCTACTGGAGTTATCCACTGACAAATGCCACCGCGGATCTAGAAGCAACTCAGAGATGTAAAGATTTCTTGTATGGCTGGTATGATTTTTCTACCTTCATTTTTATCACTGGAAGCACTTAACCTACATAATCCATTCATTTGCGGAGATCTTAAGTGCGGTGCTGGCAGGATACTAGAGCCATTGGTGTTTGGGGACTACCCACAAGTAATGAAGAAGAATGTCGGCTCTCGCCTTCCACCCTTCACAAACGTTCAGTCTGAACTTATCAAGGGTTCCTTAGATTTTATTGGAATAAATCACTATTTTTCTGTCTACGTGAATGATCGCCCTCTAGATACAGGTGTTCGAGACTACACCGCAGACATGTCAATTGATTCAAGAGGTAGTTGCTTTCTGGATAGTGATACTAGGTTGTTGCTTAACCACTCATAATTGTGTGACATGTGGGTGTGTGCAATTTGATTCATTTTTCTTGTCATGAATCACAATGATGTACTGTATATACAGGCAAACAATGCCAAGCCGTGAGTTGCTGACTTGCTGTACTGTTCTAACAAGTGGTTCCTTTGTGATGCAGGTTCTAGGACCGACCCGCCAGCTGGTCAGGTAAAAAATTATGTCATCAATGTGTTTTGCAAAGAAGTTGCTAACTCCAGTTCTTTGGGCCATGCACTGTCCATCCATTGGGTCAGGGTTATGTGTTCTGAATTCTGAATTGAATCAAGAGATTAGGACTCGCTTATGAAATTGACATCATAAACTTGGTGATAACTATAAAGATAACCTTTGCTGGTCTGCAGGGCCCCCCAACACACACTACAAGTGATCCCAAAGGGTTGCAACTTGCACTGGAGTACCTGAAAGAAACCTATGGGAACCTTCCCGTCTATGTCCAAGAGAATGGCAAGCAGAATTTCCAACCGGAATCAATTCTCCGACAAACAAACAAAGTTGCATCTTTGATCGTGTAGTTTGTTTCAGGTATGGGATCTGCTGACGACAGTCTGGATGACACCGACAGGATCGGTTACCTGAGCAGCTACATGGAGGGCACACTAGAGGCGATGAGGTGCGTCGAGACCAAAGACCAAACACATGCAGTTTCTTCAGCATTTCGTTTCAAAACAGTAGTACTACAAAAAAGCAGCTCTCCCCGTTCATTCATGCACTCCGAAAGCAAATGGAATTCGGATGTTAAAATTTCCCCAGCAACAGGATCGGTTATCTGCTCCCTCTTTTTTCGTTCATCGGTTATCTGCTCTCTTGTTGTGCAGGAATGGAGCCAACGTGGGAGGCTACTTCGCCTGGGCATTCATGGACCTGTTCGAGCTCCTGGCGGGGTACCAGTCAAGGTACGGACTGTATCGGGTCGACTTCGCCGATGAGAGGCGGCCGCGGCAAGCCAGGCTCTCGGCTCGCTGGTACTCCGGCTTCCTCAAGCACAACGGAACCTCTGCGCTCGCGTCGAGAGCGCAGGTGAACCAGGCGCTGAACTTGGTGTCCTGACTCCCGTGTTCAGTGCAACCGCGTATGCGTGCGTGCGTGCGCTTGAGAATTCGATCAGAAAGCGTGGTTCTCGGATTACATAAATAGAATACTAGGCCCGTAAGGGTTCAATTTACCTGGTGTTTTGGACTTTTTTTTACTGCCGTTGTTTACATGACGCGTGCGATAGGAGTGTATCTCTTTTCTTATCTTGCTCAGCGCTTTTCACGTGAGATGGGGGTACGTCGGTGGCTGGTTTGACTGAATTGTGGTGTGCCACGTACTCTCCACGTGTTCCGCTGCCATGCGTGAGATAATCTCTGGAAAACTCGGGTGAAGTCCTCCACCGCTCTATGGGCCCACCTCGCCCCGATCAAATGAAACCCTCGCTCCTTGAACCACCTCTCCTCTACTGCCTCAGGGTTGCAAAAAAAAAGCATGGACACCGCCGCCGCTTCGGACTCGAGGGTGTCGAGCCCCATGGCTCCGTCGAGGGCCACGGGGAGGAGGGCAGCGCCCTGCCGACGATTTCTTTGGCTACTTCCTCCTCCCGATGACCCCTGCCTGGACCAGACCGTCTCCATCTTGAAGAAGGCTTGATCTTTTCCGGCGTCAGGTGAGCAGCTGGGTGTCCTTTTTTCTTTTCTTGGGGCGTATGGCCGGCGATTGCCTGAATTTAAGTGGTGTTCGTTTTTCTACTTGCCTTCCTTGTCACCTCTTCCAATCGCAAGTGCACGCCTCCACGAGAGCAGCGAACAGAGCAGGCATCGATGGCTTAGATTCCTTCTTTATATTTTTCTCCACTCCTCTTCCTCCCTCTGGTCGAGCTCCACGAAGAGGAGGGGCTCGAGCCAGGCGATGCCAACATTTCGCCCCGGAAGCCAACCTGAGGAGGTGCCCAATCTCGCTGTTGCTCCGCTTTGCGGCGAGTGCACGCCGGCTGCCCCTCAGCACACTCTTGGCCATGTGATATGTCCCGTGCATGTGCGGCTTGTGTGCTCCTGCTGCAGCTGCGTCATGTGTGCGCTACCTGATGCATTCGCATGTCTGCCTGCAGTATATCCGACATGGCATTAGCTCAACACAAGGGATGAAGTATTTACATGTTTTCTGTTCCATGGGTGCACTATTTTGTGGACGTGTGGCTGGAGCAATTAGTTCAGTGCAGGGATGCCTTTTTATAAGTGCTCACTTTGTTCCTGGATTTAGCAATCATGATGCCGATATGCTTATGGCGTGTACTTGAATATCTTTTATGATTTTTTCTATGTAATTGGATGATCTCTTTCTTATTTGCAAATTAATATCTGACCAAGCAAATGAATATCTGGATGACTATCTTCTATGCTGGTATATATTTACTTGACTTTATCTATTTATTTTTTTCAGATTGATGAGTTCGTGATGTACGGAAAGAGAATGCCTTGGAAATACCGGTCATACGAAAGAGGACTTATTACTATTGAGATATTGTGGTGACGATGTTTAGCAGTCATAAAAGGTATATCTTCTCTCATATTCATATGGGCTGCCCTTCAAAGATAAAAGTAAAAACAAACTAGGGGAGATTGTAAGATTGTCCATGGTAGTACTCTAATGTGGAGAAATTTCACATGCAAATTTAGCAATCCGTAATTGTAGTTTTTGACTGGAATGTTTATTTCATAGAATTACAAATAATCATGTTACTTCTACTTCTTTGTGGTATTACTGTGCCTTATCTCATGACCTAGAGACATCGGTGTCAAGTTTCTCATACGTGAACGGTTTAATTGATTGCTTCCGTAAGATCTTCTCCTCAACGCTCCTATGTGTGATGATGCAGTCCAGATCAGGGTTTGAACTGTACTTTCTCCCTCAGCAATACTTTCAGTGAGAAGTAGCAAGACTATTCCACCAATATAGATTCTGCAAAGTATTTAACATTGGATATGGTCCAGTTAGTGGTTTATTATTCCTTGCATTCAACATGTGTGTATAACACATCCACGATGCTTTATTCTATATTGAACTTTCAGTGAACCTGAACTCTTCTGATTATTTTGTGTAACCATGAACTCTTGGCGTGCAGGTGTAAATTGATTTTTTTTCAAGTGCAAATCGTATCAGGCACATGGACAACTAGCATCAGCTTCCTCTGTTTAGACATTACTATACCACGTAATTGGTCTTTGGTTCTCTAGGAGATCGTGGTCCATATTTGAGTAACTTACAAAAATATATGCATTAACATGATAAGATGGTGTAGAAGCTTTCGTAGGAGTATTTGTACTTGCTATCACCAGGTAAGTTATGCAAAGGGTAAACAATGCTTTATTTGTTCTATCCAATCTGAATTTAGAAACTTTTTGTAATAAAAATATGGCCAGGCATTTACCAACAGGCAAGATCTAGCAGCTTACCTCATTTTTATTCCTGGTTGGATGTTTAGTCATGCATCCGAATTTCCAGCATGATAGCTCACTTCTTTCATGTGTAAATAGTTCTCTCTCCAAGGCATTCCTTAATTTATTTTCTATCCTAGCAGTTCGTACATATCTATATTTTGTGCGGAGCGTTTTCCATTTCATTTTATTTTACTTACTTTGTTTTCATATATGGATTCTGACTATAGTAATACAGTTTTTCCACCAAGGATGCTTAAATTACCTTTAAGGAGTGTTTTTTCCCGCTCCCACATAGCATGCAGCAGTTATATGCATCATTTGACTGTCTGTGGGGTCGTTCAGTTAAACGCTTAGTATTGTTGCCCATACAAGGAACAGATTCAGTTCAGTTAATTTAGCTCTAATGGCGGTATCAGTAAAACGTGGATGTGTGCAGTTTTGATGTACATACTCCCCTATTTGTACCAGTTCAGTTAATTCAACTCTAATTACGTTATTTGTAAAACATGAAAGAGTTGTTCGCTGGGGTTCTTTTCCCCTCTCCTTTAATGCATAATACGCATACTCGGGCATATTCTAGAAAACAAAATACATACTCCCCTATATATGCCCTTCTTATCCTTTCTTAAAAATAACTAAGCGAATAATTACTTCCTGTAGATCTCCTTCCAAGTTTATTTACTTGATCTTCTTTCCTTTCACTTCTCTTGACCTATTTTTTGGTGCACTGACATTGTGTCTTCAGTGGAAAATTCTGATGCTTCTATGCTTTCATGACTGCATAATATTTTAAATATGATTTAACATATGTTCTTTCTCATGGAAAATCAAGTTATAAGTAGCTTAAATGCTTATTGTTCTTGGCTTGAGATCTATACTCTCTTAGTAATCAAGCACATCAACTTCTGCGATTGAGAGAAGGATCCATGTTTCCATGTTCTTTCTGAAGTTAAATTGGCATTACAAATTTTGTGATCAATAGCTTTCAGAAGAAAAAGGTTGCTCGAGCTACTCTTCATCAACTTTGCACATATCACGGTATAGTCATCAACGACCACAATCATGGCGCGCTCAAGACAACGTTCAGGATTTACTCAACAACACAATAGTGGAGCGGAACTGATCATTACTTTAGTGATTTAGAAAGTGGAGTATTACTTTACAGAGGGAGTACATTGTAGTACTGTTGTACTTTGGTTTTTCTTTGCAATATTTAGAACATAGAGATAATCTAGAGCATTCTGGAGGGGAATCAATCGGTATGGAATACTGATGCATATATATTTTCTGGTGTAACTTGCTTCTAGGATGTGGCAACCTTTTGAGAAAATTTGATACTTCCTCTGTCCTTAATTATTTGTCAGACAAATGGATGTGAGGCGAACAAGGGTCCTCAAAAAGATTTTTCTCCAATTTCAAGATAATTTGCTAAACCGTCTGAGAGCCAGGACGTGCACCCAGTAGCAACTTTAACATTGTCTACGCATCAAACAAACCATCAAGAACAAGAGCAAAAGAACCAGCTTCATCTATCTACCACTACATCGTAGAGACAAGCTGGGGTCTAAGAAGAGAACAAGAGCTTCATAATACTGCATCCAGCATCCACTATCACTACATGTTGTAGATCACCTATGCATGTACCAACTAGATGTACGCTTTGCTGATCACCTATGCATGTATCAACTACATGTACCCTATCCTTGTATGAACTACGTTGCTACGTTCAAGTTTTGGGAGGACTTACCCAATAAATATTTTTAGAAAAACTAAATAGCTTATCGATCTACGTGGCGCGGCGTGCCGCCGCGCACTACCCGCTAGTTAGTACTACACAAGAAACCAATGCTCTTGTAACCACTACTATCTTCTTAGTTGCTGTAGTATTTTCTTTTGAAAACCATCACTTTCAGAGCAAGTTGAAGAAATGAAAAGCTCGAGT